TCTTTTTCTCTTGGAGAGAGTAACGAACAATGTGGTAGTTTCCTTAAGAATATCTAGAAAACTTCAACTGTACAAATCTCAAGAGAAAGTACAGAGATGTGTCCAAGGGTTCACATTCTGGTGGGTCTAAGGGATTCAGTATCCAGCAACATCTGAGATGGTCACTCCAGCTGAAAGGTCCCTCAGAAGCTCCCTTGAAACTCTGGAGGAAGGAAGACCTGAGTAAAAGAACAGAAGAGGGAGAGGGGCAGTTACCAGAATGGCCCCATAGGTCCTCTAGAAAAACAGATCCAGCTGTCACTAAGTTACAAGTGGTCTGCTCTCCCAACAGTGGCAATCTGATGGGTCCCAAGAGAAAGGAGACGTCCCAAGAAGCTACTGTATTTTCTAGCTTTTCCTTTCTATGACAAAAGCCTGATGCAGATGATTGAAAATAGGAAAAGATTGATTTTGCCCTAGGTTGCTTAGGCTTCAGTCCATGGTTGGTTTGCTTCATTGCTGTGGGCCTATGATGAGGCTGAACATCATGGTAACAAGAACATGTGATGGAGAAATTTCCTTGAATGGTGATGACCAATAAGCAGAATGGAAGAGAAGGATCAAGAGGGGCAGGTGCACCCTCCCAAGGCATGTCTGCAGTAGTCACTTCCTCCAACTGGGGCCACTTCCTCCCAACAACATCATCTGGGAATTAATTTCCATGGGTTAACTCACTGATGATGTCACAGGTATCAACATACAATACCTTCTCGGTTTTGGGGTCCTCAAGATGAGAACCAAGCTTTCCACATGTGAACCGTTCTCAGGACACATCATATCCAAACCATGGTGTAACTGAAACTCAGGGAGCCTTGGAGTCCTCATCTAGAGAAGTCATTGTTTAACACCATCTTCACTAAGCCACTGTCTCCATATTTCCTATTCATCCATGGTATGGGTTAATATGCCTTTACTTCCCTTTGGTCTCCCTGAGGTCTAAGTACCTCCTACTAATGAGTCTTCAACGTTTGTGCCTATGGAATGGGGTTATCAAGATCTATTATGGCATCGAGTTTATGAGGATTTCTAAGAAGTGCCTTTTATACTCTACCTATCTCCTTTCTCAATTTACTATTCCAGCAGCTTCCATATCAAGGCTCACAGGTAAAGTGCATGTGTAGAGGGCTAAGATGGAGCTAGCTTCAGCTAATTATGCTCTATTGGAAATGGACATTCCAGGACCCAGGACACGGGCTGCATGAGAACTGAGGATTCTGCATCTGGAGGAAAAGTCTCCCTGTTTGTTGCTGCTCTAAGTGATCTGAGCAGAGCACCTGACACTTAACACACCCAGAATTCTTGTGCCTGTAATGACTTTGAGATCCAAAAACACTTGGCAGAGTCATATGTGTGTTTCCTCCTTGGTGATCAATATGGCTCCTTTGTTGCTAGCTGGGGTCTTGTGTGCTGCCTTCATGGACACTCCAGTGGGGAAAGAATCCAGGAGCATAGTCTGCACTTGTAATGAGTATGGCAAGCCTGCCACTTGGGGGAAACTTAAACTGTGTGTTAAAAATGGATATAGCCACCCCATTTATCAAGTTTTCAGTAGTGGAAGAAGTAATGGGAGTGTGAATAAACACAGCATAGATTAGTATGTTTCTATGTAGAGTTACCACTGTCTTCCCTCACGGAAATACACAAGCATCTTGTTCAGATGGGGGTACTTTCCTCTGTCTTACTTAATAAACTTTTAATTGTTCTGATTTCTTTTGTGCTGACAAAATCATATCCAATTATTCATATAAGGTTATATATTTCTTATACTCCTAAAGATATAATGTCATGGTTTAAAAGAAGGATATAACTTTTCTGGAGTTTTGGGGTTGATTTTCTGACTTAATTCAATTGATTCCTTGCATGTTGGTTGTCCTGAAACACTTGGAAACCCTTGATTACATGTTACCTCTCAAAACTGAGTTAAGGGATGGGGCTGGCGAGATGGCTCAGTGGTTAAGAGCACTGGTTGCTCTGTCAGAGGACCTAGGTTCAATTTCCCCCATCTACATGGCAGCTAACAATCATCTAACTCCAGTTACAGAGGAACAATGCCCTCTTCTGGCCTCTACAGGCATTGAACATAGACATGGTTCACAGTTTACATACAGGAAAACCATCCATATGCAGAGCATAAAAATTATTTTTAAAATTCAAGTTATAAAAAACAGATTTTAAGACATTAAATTAGAAACAACACTACATATGAAAGAATGAATATTGTATTGTTCCACTTGTATAAGTACCCAGGATGACAAAATTCACAGAGACACATAATGAATTAGTAGATTATGAGGGGTTGAGATGAGAGAGAAATGTAGTGTTATATAATATCACAGATTTGGATTGAAATCATCTGGAGATAGACAATAGTGATATGAGTGTACTTAATATCATGAAGCTGAAAAAATTTTCACTATAGTAAATTTTATGTCACACATATTAAAATATGGGTTCTTCATTCATCTAGTTGTAGACTAGATGGTTGTATAACCTGCACAGGAATTGACCTGAATGGGGACCATTACTGGAAATGAACAAAGGACAGAGACATGTCCGGAAACACTTGGGTCAGGTGGGCCATGCACTCTGATGGAAACAGAGTGTTGATTATATATGGCATAAAGGAGGAGGCAGGAAAGCTAATCTTAGTAGGAGGTCTCTGTGGGGGAGCAGTCTCAGGCTGCAGTCAACTGGATGAGGAAGCCGTGGTTGGTAGTTTCTGTACACACTGGTTTTAGCTAAAGGTCAACCATTCATCATCATCCATACTTGGGCCAAGTGAAGGCCTTGTCATTCCCATGGGTCTGAGGGATCAGCATCTTTGACATGACCATGTTCATATCAAACATACCTATTCACCAAGGGCTTCATTCACTCCACACAAGTGCTGAACTTAGGGTAGATCATTTCTATGGATTTCTGTAATTCAATGATATTCATACACGTTAGGTTTTCTGCCTATTAGGATAACTTATTATATTTTCCAGGTTGCCAAATTATTTTCCTGCATAGAATTAAGCAACACTCTTAAATTTCCTTTTCTGTTCCTTAAGCATATTATTTCACAACTTCTGAGTCATAGTTTGCCACCCTTGTTAATAATAAAATGCTTTCAAAAGGAAGATGTCCTGTATTTTTAAAACTTACTTACTATTCGCTTGTTTTTCTATTCTTTCAATTGCTCCTTTCTCTTTTCATTTTTTTTTTTGTCAGTATATCGAATGTTTAAATTTAAATTTTCATTTCAATGCATTCTTTTCTGGTACATATTGCATAATTACATGGTATTTGCGATCTTCAACTTCCTCTAAGTTTTATCTACATTGTAAAAAAGAGGTTGACAAGAAATTTGCTCTTAATTCAGAGACATAATTAAAGTTTTCAGATAATTTCCTTATTACCTCCAATTGAAGTATCTCCTGGATTTTTCCTGGGAGGGGGGCAGGGTTGAATGGGCACAGCAAGAAATTTTATATTAAAATCATTTCAGGGTGACTCACTGGTCTCCCAAGGGAAACAGTTACTCCCTGGGACAGAGACCAGCTCAGTAAGAGACTCGTGTGTTTTATCTTACATTTATTTTATGCATGTTCTTTTTATAGGACCTAGTTTGACTTTTTGTTTGCCTCTTTCATACGGCACTACACAGAATGTTGGGTGGAATGGTTGGAAATATGTTTTTAAGTAGACTTCTTTCTGGGGCTACTTCCATATGGTTCTGAGTGTAAAGGGGGAACACTTCAGGGATGTTCTCTTCTCCCAAGGACATGTCCACAGTACTGTCCTTTTAAGTGTGTGTTGAGTCACCAATGCCGTAATGAGCCCTTCCTATTGTTCTCACAGTTGCACAAAGTTTTGTTTCTAAACAAGAAGGCAAGACTTCCATATTGCCTCAGAATGCCAGCACCAGTGGCAATAAGTATTCGCCACGACCCATTGCTACTGCAGCTGTATAATACTCCTGCCAGAGATCTCTGTTAAAATACTGGGTTTTAGTTTTTGTTGGATCCCATGACATACATAGTAAAGAAACCAACACTCTTTGTTGTTTTCCCAAAAGTGATTCTTATTGTCATTCAATTGTTGTAATGTTTTCTCTTTAAAAGTGTCTCTGCACTTCATCTTGCCTTGCAAATACATTCCCAAGCTCATTTCCCTGCACACACACTACTTCAAATGCTACAGCTAACAAACCATCACAACCATGATGGTCTTGTTCTACCAATGTTTCCAGAACAAACTAATCATAAAAGCAAGCACCCATGTCTCTCTTAGATAAATGTAGATATTGGCATGTCAGTTATATAGTTATATAGCTCAGAGATACTTTTGGACATTGATGTGCCCCGATTATAATTTTTTCTTCCAGGGCTAAGGTTTGAATCAAGAGCTTCATACTTGCTAGGCAAGTGGTGTACCATGCATCTTCAACCTCCCCATTTATTCTTCAAACTTTCTATTTGGGATTTCCTTTGTGTGCAATTCTCTCCTCTATTGTTCTAAACAAGGGACTGGTCCTTTGCCTGTAAATGAGAAGCTATATCAAACTCAATGTAAAACTTTGTGGGCTTCTGTGAGACAGCATGCTGAACAATGTCACAGTGGACAAAGCACCACTACACTGTGACTAGGGAAACTTGATCAGGTCCTGGCTACTTTCAGAGCATGAGGGAAAAAAAAGTTCCTGCTCCACTCTACTCTGGATTTTCTTTGAAAACGCAAGGAGTGTGTGATAAATTCAGGAAGGTTGATAAATATTTGCTGAGGCTTATGACAGGAAAACATTGCGTCCTTGCACTAAATCCCTGGGAACATTACCAATGTCCCCAACTGAGCATAGGGGAGGAAGTTGGCATTTAGAGATAATAAAAAAGGGAGGGCAGTGTCTTTTGTAGCTTCAGCCACATCAGTGGTACACCCAGCTAAAGAAGATATAAATGAGCAACTCTGCTCAGTGCTCAGGGAAGGCCCCTTCTTGACAAGATGGAGTCCTCGGTCTTCATCCTTTTCCTGCTCCTCATTCTGGAAAGACAGGCAGCTGTGGTTGGATTCTATGGTGAGTACAGGGATGGTGGCTAGAGGGAAAGTAACTCAGGTAGAGTGTCCTTAAGGGTGCTGTGGGAGTAAGCAGATCCTCCATAGGGCGATCTTTTTGGTGAAACTTAATTCTTCTCTACCCAAACCAAAATCCCTTGTGGGAACATCTGCAGTTTTATGAGGAAATTTTTGGAATAAGACTTGGAAGGAACTATGCAGATAATATAACAAACATTCTTATTATGAATTACTAGGTGAAACAAAAGGCGGCAGCTTCATAAAAGGTGGCGGCTTCACGAAAGGCGGCGGCTTCACGAAAGGTGGCGGCTTCACGAGCAGTTCGTCAGAATTTATAAAAGGTCATGTCAATTACGGGCTCAAAGGAGGAAGTGATGATGCAGCTGAAGAAAGTGTTTTCATGCAAACAAAACATCAAGTATATGAGCAGGGGAATGACATGTCACAGGCACGTCATTCACAAGAACATGCAGGTGTAAAGGGGGCTGCACTTTGTCGCAAAGGACAAATGTCCCAACTAAAATCCCAAGAATCCCAAGTAAAATCCTTTGGACAAGTGAAATCCCATGAATCTCAACTGAAATCATCCTACGGCCAACTAAAATCCCAAAGTGCCCAAGTAAAGTCCTATGGACAAGTGAAATCCTATGGACAAGTGAAATCCCATGAATCTCAGCTGAAATCATCCTACGGCCAACTAAAATCCCAAAGTGCCCAAGTAAAATCCTATGGTCAGTTAAAATCCCAAAATGCCCAACTGAAATCCTATGGTCAGTTAAAATCCCAAGATGCCCAACTGAAATCCTATGGTCAGTTAAAATCCCAAGATGCCCAACTAAAATCCTTTGGCCAACGAAAATCCTATGGTGAAGGAGGTCAAGTAAAATCCTATGGTCAGCTAAAATCCCAAAGTGCCCAACTAAAATCCTATGGTCAGCTAAAATCCCAAGATGCCCAACTAAAATCCTATGGTCAGCTAAAATCCCAAGATGCCCAACTAAAATCCTATGGTCAGCTAAAATCCCAAGATGCCCAACTAAAATCCTATGGTCAGCTAAAATCCCAAAGTGCCCAACTAAAATCCTATGGTCAGCTAAAATCCCAAGATGCCCAACTAAAATCCTATGGTCAGCTAAAATCCCAAGATGCCCAACTAAAATCCTATGGTCAGCTAAAATCCCAAGATGCCCAACTAAAATCCTATGGTCAGCTAAAATCCCAAGATGCCCAACTAAAATCCTATGGTCAGCTAAAATCCCAAGATGCCCAACTAAAATCCTATGGTCAGCTAAAATCCCAAGATGCCCAACTAAAATCCTATGGTCAGCTAAAATCCCAAGATGCCCAACTAAAATCCTATGGTCAGCTAAAATCCCAAGATGCCCAACTAAAATCTCTAAAGGGATTTTCTCAACAAACTCAGCATAAAGGATTTGCTATGAATGAAGAAGTATCACAAGTGCGTAAACAATTTGATGAAGATGAAGACCAGTCTGTACAGCAAAAATCTAGCCAACAGGCAAAAACAGAGGAAGACTTATCCCAGTTTGGACAACAACGCCAATTTGGACAAGAACGCACACAATCCTATAAGGGATATCTTGAACAATACAAAAAGAAATCACAAGACCACTATCAACAAAGAAGAGATTTTAATCAAGATAATTATTTTACAAAGGGAGGGGCAGACCTATATCAAGCTCAGCTTAAAGGATAATATAGTCATCAACCAACTAAAGACCAAGATCAATGTCAAGGTATGTTTCTACCAAATAGGAGAGATATTTATGCCAATATTTACATATAGTATATAAGGAAGCCCTGGGTTCATTATGGGGTTGATAACCATTTCGTCTCATCAGTTAACAACAGATCCTCCTACATTAAGGGAGTAGTTTTTAGTGGTTTTTCAAACATAGAGTTTATATTATTCAATATGTACTGCATATGCAACCATATTTAACATTTTATGTTGTAACCTAATTTTTTCTACACTTTGACTTTATAAAGAATGGTTTCTTGATTATACTAATATAGTGTATTATTGCAGGTGATCATTCTCCACACCAATGAGTGTTCTTGAGTCCCTGTTACCTTCATTTTCTATTAGAAACCATGTGGGGGTTAACGATTTCTATCAGATGGAAGATATGATTGCAAAGATGTCTGTTTGGGGCAGACACTATCTTCAATTATGTGCCCAATGATGAGCCTGTTAAAGTCCAGGGGACAGTCCCAGGCTTATGATCATGTTAGTGACCCTGGTTAAACTCAGGTGATCATTTAAAAAAAAAGACATACTTGTGAAAAGAGGACTTACAGGGAGGAGCAGGGGTAATTGGGATGAGTGGAAGATAGGAGAGTGGGGTTGGCAGTAATTAGAATACACAATATATGTGTATGAGATTCTCAAAGAACACAATTAGTGAAAGGTTGTTTCGTTCAGAGGTGAACACAATGCAGTAAGTATCCACAGGTTGCTGCTGGACATTGGCAACATTGGAAGAGACAATGTTCACTGCTTTGTTTGCATTAAGTGTGCATTAAGGGAGAGCACCAACAACCACTTGGATTAGTGACTGAGCACCCTAATCTGTAGAAGCAGGCTCCAGTAGACTTGAAAGAGGCAGTTCATCTATACCTCAACTTCTGACTGCCCTTATTTACCTCTTCTCTTCCCAGGAATCACTTCACCAGAGCCAAGTCTATGTTACCTTCCAGATGCTGCCTGCAATGGGGTCCCAGATATCTGGTTCATGGGCAACCCTCTACTCACAATTGCTTTTCTGTAGGACTTCTAACCCCGGAGCTTCCTCAAACACTTGCTTTCCAATAAAAATGTAACTTTCTGCATCACTTGCTTTTGTTTACTGCGATCTGATTCCTACCAGTGTCTGGGTTTGGGGACACTCCTGATGGGAAGTTCCAAAAGGAAGAGACATCAGTGTAGTGTTTGGGCAAATAATAACGAAATCCGCATTTGTAGATGTCTGGGTTACAAAAAAAGGTGCTAGAACTGTGACAATCACCCTGTGAGCCACCTCAAGTCAACTTTAACATCCATTACAACTCTTTTTCTAGTGAGTCTTCAGAAACTGACAACCAGAATTAAAAGTTCACTGGCCCAAGGAGGTTGGTTTCCAGTTCCAACTCTGCCATAGAAACATAGATTTTTTTTTTCAGGCTGAAGATAGCTCAGCCATTAAAGGCTAGGCTGATCTTTCTCTCTCTCTCTCTCTCACATACACACACACATACACACACACATATATACACATATATATATATATATATATGTATATATATATATTCAATTGTTTTCCTCTCTGAGAATAGCCCACCATTTATATATGGGAAAGTTTCCTCCAACTGTTTGTAACTTTGTGAAATCAAGTAAGGCTTTGACACTTATATGGTCCCACAGCCAGGAACTGGACTGTAAGGTTATTTATCAATACATTTGATACTTATGAGGAAAATGGAAGTACTCTGAGCATGTGCAGGTCACAGAGACACTTCACTTTATTCTGGAAATTTAGTCCTTCGTTAGGTACAAAGAGGGGGAAGAGGTTCTTCTTTGCCATAGATTCAAAGGGCTTGGGTACCATCTCTGGATAGAAACACAGAATTCTTCAGAAGTCTTAAAGAAGAATGGATATAGAGCGTTAACATGCAAAGGAACAATGCCTCACTCAGAGGTCTTTTTGAGTTGTGGTCCCTGGGGATCCCACCCCCAACATTACAAGCTACAGCCATTGCTCCTAGTTACCCTTGCCATAAAGTTATGACAAGGCTCCACCACTGAAGATACCACATACCTGAGTCACAGGACACAGAAATGAAGCTGGTTCTGACTTGGAAGCTTCATCCTACTGGCTAGCTGGAAGATGCTATGCATGCTTACTAGGGAGGAAGAGTCATCAACACTGTTACAGGATTGGTCTGCTAAGATATGCCCACTAGTGAAATAGTGGCACCAGAGTTGTGGAAGGAATCAGTCAACTGCTCTCTTATTGAACTCAAGTCCCACTCCACGAGATGGAACCAATGCCTGGTACTATCAACTGTGTCCAAAAGCTGTGGAACGTACATACCTATCCTGTGTTCATTCCATAATGTTATTCTGAAAGTACATTACTTACATATTTCACAATCTGTAAATGGGAGATAATTATGTCTAGAATGAACCAAATCATAACTACCATAGATTATTTAAGTGATAATAAATAATGCATTTAGTTTCAAGAGAAGGATGTTAAAAGTTCAGTAATTTAGAGATTAAAAAAATAATATTTTCACATGTGAGAAGAACAGACACTAGCTGGATCTGGGGCTGAGACTTAACTCGCTGATAAAATGCTTACTAAGCATGAAAGGGGTCCCCAGTTCAGTTTGCATCCTGATATATACCCCTGCAATACCAGCACCCAGGAAGTAGGGGCAAGCTGACCAGAAGTTTAAAATCACCCTCACCTCAACTATTAGCAAATTCTAGGCCAGCCTCAGTGCGTTAGTTACAGTTCTCTACCAGGACTGACAGAATGTATATGATGAGAGAAGAGAGGAGGAGGAAGAGGAGAAGGGTACAAAGGAGGAAGGAGAAATGGAGGGAGGGAGGGAGAGGAGAGAGAGAGAGAGAGAGAGAGAGAGAGAGAGAGAGAGAGAGAGAGAGAGAGAGAGAGAGAATGAGCTCTAGACTGTGGCCTAAGTAGTCTAACAATGGTTACAATGGCTATCTCCTGATATGGTACTGGATGGAATCCAAGGGCATTACTAACAAGCTGCTTGTCTTCAGTCTATGTTGAAATCCCAAAGAAATGGGTTCTAATGCTAGTGAAGGAGTGTCTCAGAGACTGGATAAATGGACTTGCCAGCAACAGTGAGGGCAAGCAAGCAAAAAGTAAAAGCTTCCTTCCTCCATGCCCTAATATGTGGGCTGCTACCAGATGGTGTGGCTCACATTTAGAGTGAGTCTTTCCACAACACATGATCCAATCAAGAAAAGCTCACAGGCAGGCCCAGATGCTTGAGCTTTAGTTGATTCCAGTGGTAGTCAAGTTTGACAACCAAGATTAGGCATCACACTCAGAAACAGGAAGGGTGTGTGTGTGTGGGTGGGTGGGTGTGTGTGTGTGTTATCAGGAGCCAAGGTTAGACTATTATAGTTTGAAATGACAGTCCCCCCACAAATACATGTTTAATGTTATTTGCTAGTTATGATATTTGTAAATAAAAACCTTTAGAAAGAAAGAGGCTAAAGCTGGGTGGGTAGGGATTTGGGAAGGGTCTGGGAAGACTTGGGGAAGGAAAAACAATCAAAATACATTGAATTTAAAAACTATAAATAAATAAACAAATAAGTAAATAAAACCAAAGTCATACAGGTAGTTTTATTTTCCATTTTATTGATTGATGGTACCCTCTTATTTTCTGCAATTAGGCCTTACCATGTTGCGTAGGCCAGCCTTGAACTTGTGATGCTCCTGTCCCAACCTCATTGGTGCCTGGGATGACAGGTATGGGCAACCAAACCCAACTGCTGGTGTCCTTTTGAAAAGAATTCCTTGAGAGCTGAGGTGCCTTACATGCACATGGATCTGAGTGCAGTCCCCAGCACCCAGGTAAAACTTTCAAGCATGGTGGCATTCAAGCCTAGTGCTGTGGAGGCTAAGGCAGACAGGTCCCTGGAGATTTTCGAGGCAGCTGGTCTAGCCTAGTTGGTAAGCTTTAGGGCATGAAAAGGCCCTCATGAATAACAGCTGGGGTTGTCCTCTGGCTTCCACATTCATACACAAGCAGCCACTCACACATGCATAAATCTTGCAACTGTGTGTTAAGAAGAATGCCTTGAGAAAGTTGATGCGCCTATAAAGACTCCATGCAAAGATGAGAGGTTGGAATGATCCATTTAAAGTCTTTCTGGCTCCAGTTTACTTTACTTAATAGTCTCTGAAAGACCCTGAGTGACTCAGAAAAGGAAGGACACCCCAAATCACTCCCGAGAAGTGTTCTCGATGCAAATAGCAAGAGGATTTTATTCCAGCAAGCTGGGATCCACAGCTATACGCCAGCAGGGGTAGAGGACTGAGGACCCCTAGTGCAGAACTGAGATAGCTTTTATAGGATTTATATCAAAGTTAACAAGGCCAAGGCCAGGTTTTTTGTTTCTTCAAAGCTAACAAGGCCAGGGTTTTTTGTTTTTTTTTTTTTTTTTTTTTTTTTTTTTTTTGTTGTTTTTGTTTTGTTTTGTTTTGTTTTCTTCAAAGCTAGAATAGTGGTTCCTGTTATTTTCACTAGGCCTAAATGCAAGGTAAACAAGGTCGTGGGATAGTTCAAAACTTGGACGGTTAATAAGGTTTCCAAGGTTACAGAGATTTCATAGAGTACAGAGTTTTTACAAGGCGGGATTGTTTAGCGCACCTGCAAGGTTAGGGGGTTTTCTTTCTCTAGGACCAGTGGACTCAGTAATCTTGTCCTTAAGATAACAGGGGGCAGGGAGAATGTGCTCTCCAGTCAGGGAGTTATCTATATCTATTGGCAGAAGCACTTGTTCTTTCTGGTTTTCCCTTCTTGCCATGAGTCCCGTAACTTTTAGTTATTAATTTTCTTTGTGGACAGGATGACCCATAACAATTCCCAGAAACCAGACTGTTGCTGTGGATAACATTTGGGTGGTTATTTTCAAATACATGCTGGTGGGTGTTTTTTAGATTTCTAATTTCCAATGGTCATGGGAATCTCCAATTCCATCTATTTCCAGCAAATGATATAATTTCATCCTTTACATCCAAATAACATCCTATTGTATATATGTACCAGATTTTATCCATTCATCTGATGGTGGGTGTAAGGATTCAGGCATTATGCTGGCCTGCCTCTGTCACCTGGCAGAATGCGCTCAGGTAGTACCCTGGTCAGTCCAGGGTTCCATGAGTACTAGTCTGCATGCAGATGCAAAGGACCCCTTTAAAAGTCAGACCCCTGCCCACTTATGTTCTCTTTGCTCTTTCTTTCTCTTTTGGTTTGAGACAGTGTTTCTCTGTGTAACAGCCCTAGCTGTCCTGGAACTCACTCTGTAGACCAGGCTGGCCTCAAACTCACTGAGATTCACCTGCCTCTACCTCCCAAGTGCTGGGATTAAAGACGCACACCACCACCACCACCAGGCTTACACTTCCTTTGGTCTCTCTCCACTCTTCTCTTTCAGCTCTCTTCCTGCTCTCTCGGCTCTGTCCTTCTAGCTGTTCCCCTAGGACAGACGTACTTTTCCTGTCTCCCTCTTCTCTTCTGTCCACTCTCTGTCTCTGTGTCTCTTTTCTCTTTCCTCCCCTACCCCCTTTTCTAATAAAACTTTTCACTTAAGCTCTGTCTGCCTGGCGTGTTTGTCCCTCCTCCTCGGTCACCCTCCCCTGCCAGGGAATCTGCCATGGTCCCCCACCCAATGTCTCCCTTCGAGCTTTATGTTAACATTGGTGCATGGGACTCGGCAGGTTTTCCTGGCATTTGCTCCTGTTCATGACAGTCTAATATGTTGGGACCGTCTCTACTTCTGCCCAAACTTCCATGAGTTAGGATTCCACCATGGCCCCTCACCAAGGTCCCCCTTCGAGCTTTATCATAACAGTGGGCACTGAGGCTCTCTGTATCCTGGCTATTATGATTGACAATACTCAAGCAGTAAACATAGGTGTGCAGGCGTCTCTGTAGCATGATAGCTTTGATTCCTTTGTGTATATATCCAGGCATGGCAAAGCTAGATCAATATATTAGTTCAACTTCTGGGATTGTGAGGCCCCTTCATGCTAATTTCCACAATGGCTGCACCAGTTTACACTCAGACCAGCAATGCATAA